AACGATTACAATAAATTACGAAGCGAACATCTCGAGTATGCAACAGCGCGGTTTTTTTTTTTTTTTTTTTTTTTTTTTTAGTCACTAATAAATGTTATGATGGCCGCGCACAATTTGAGCTTGTTTGCAACATTACACAATAACTAACGAATAATCTCTGAAAATGTAGACACGTTGATAAATTTTCCTTACAATTCCTGCAGTCCTTTATCCGTTATTAATGTTAAATGATTCGACGAGAAGATTCGTAATACACAGTCCGAGTAAATCAAAAGTAGCTGCACTATTACTGGCACAGCAATTTATTTGTATCTGTTACATTTCGCTGCTAATTATTCATTTGTACAAGATCAAACTGTGCTCGATCAGAATGGTAACATTTGCTTTGAGCAAAGGGTCGTTCGCGCCCTTGGATTTACAATCGTGATAATCAATTTTCGCGTCTACAGCTTCGCCGTCATTTCAAATTCAAGAACGCGCACGAACGTTTTTCAAAGTTCGAAGCCGCACAGTCCTCTCGTTCGTGAATATAACTGTGCTCGAAGAACATCGGTAACATTCAAGTTCGCTACAACTTTCTCCCTCTGAAGCACGCGCGAGCGTTTCGCACTTCTCTCTCATGCGTTTCTCGATTCGTCAACTCCGAACGTTCGGTTTTCAGTTCGTATTACAAGTTCGACATTACAACAGCGATTGAAACGGATATTGCGTTGATAAAATTAATTTCAATATATAGCGAACTTTTCATAATTTTTACATTTCTTTATATCATTAAAGTTTTTCTAAATTCGATACAAAGTTGATATCGCGCTTGATAATAAATTCATAAAACAAGTTAACCCTCTAACAACGTAGCTTGAAAATGACATACATGACCTGTATTCGGATCTTGTCGCTTCACTATCGTATATATTTTTATCAATACAACGATTTATCTACAATAAATTCTCGAATTTAATGACTAATAATTTTTGTTCCTCTTTCGTCGAGCAAACGAAATTCAAGTTTATAAAATAAATTCGATATAAGCTTCGATGAAAGCACTCGCCAAAAATTACATATCGAACAATTGAAGATTTCGAAACATGATTTTCCGCGATAACGTCGAAATATCACCGATTTATCTAAAAGAGAGATAGAAAATACGTGGGGAAAAATTCGAACTCGCTCGATTTGAAGGTCGCCTACGCTCGCACATACTCCCACCGAGCACACACACGCACACGCACGCCTCAAAGTAACGGGGAAAGGGGGACAATGAAGGACGATAACATCGATAACAGGATATTCGGTGCTTCTTCTCACGCCTGTCGGGCACCAACGTCCTCGAATCTAGATCGAAGACCCCGCTCTATTCTTATACTCTCGTAAAATCCTATAAGCCGCTTCGAACATTACGTCGGAGAGAACAATTTCTTCCCTAATCGATTCCCCGGATTTTATTCTGCTTTTTTTTTTGTTTTCCTTTTGTTTTTCATCAGTCTAATTCGCGAGAGACGCTTGTAAAATAAGGGAATCGTACTTTTTTTTTTTTTTTATAAAAGGCAGCGCCGCGTGTGGTGCACGTATGAAAATCATCGTCATTGGAGGAAGAGGAGGCGTACGAATCGAAAGGATATGTCGTCGACGCAATCACTTCTCCTCGAACGGCGAGATTACAGCCGTGCAACGGTTCCTTCCACGAACAGCCGCGATTTTTGGAACGTTTTCTAGAAAAATGAAAAACAGGTGGAAAGAATCGTTACACGTGCGTTTGAGACGTGTCACACACGGGGGGGAGGCTGGTCTCGAAGAACTGTGAAACAAAGTCAGCTCGTCCCGAACGAACCGATCGGTTTACATTTACCCCGTGTTCGAGTCTTCCTTTCCTGACAATTGAGATCAATCTTCGGCAACGAGAACGAATCGGGCCTGCGACGAAGAAGCGGCGCTACGGAGGAAGAAGGATGGCGAAACGTTTCTCTCGCGAAATAAATCTCGGGCCGCGAGAACGTGAAATTCGTCGGGGGAAAGAGGAATTGAGAAACGAAGGCCAGAGGGGAAAGTCGTGGAAACGAGGAAGATGAAAAGAAACAGCGAGCAAGAGACAAGAAGAAACGAAAGAAAAGCCGACATTTAGGGTAGTTGGAACGATGAGAACGAACGATGATCTCG